CACAGGCCGGGCTGAGGGACCCCCTCGAGTGCACAATTTTTTTGTGCACCGGGCCTCTAGTTGTTGATAATTGATTATAGTCTGACTAGAGGCTCAGTGCATGAAATTCATGCACTGGGGGTGGGGTGGGGTGGGGAGTCCCTCAGCCTGGCCTGCACCCTTGCAGTATTGGGGGGGCCCTGAGGATGTCCGACTGAGCCGTCAGTTGGACACCCTCAGCACTGTCACGGAGGTGGGAGAGGCCCCACCACTGCCACTGTGTTTGCCAGCCATGAGCTTGGCTTCCAACGGAGTTGCACTCCCCCTGTGAGAGCGCTCTGACCACCAGGGGGCAGCTCCTGCGTTGATCGTCTGTTCCCTGGTGGTCAGTGCATGTCATAGTGACCCGTTGTTCCGACGTTTGATTGATTTGCATATTAGGCTTTTATATATTTATATAGATATTTATGTTGGATTCTATGGAAACATTTAGGTTCCACAAATGGAATATACTGGATAGTAGAAAAAAAAATGAATTTCTTGGAATGATAACGAAAAACTATGAAAAATGGGAATGGGAGTGTTCATGTGAGAAAAATGTCTTAACTAAAAATTATTTTCTGATTACAAAAACAATATAGGTTCATTTTCTAGTATTATTTTAAAGTATAGTTTACCCTTGAACAATGTGAGGATTAGGGGAATTGACCCCCACAGAGCTGAAAATTTGTGTGTAACTTTTGGTTCCCCAAAAACTTAACTCCTAATAACCTACTGTTGACCAGCAGCCTTATAGATAACATAAACAGTCAATTAACACATTTTGTATGTTATATGTACTATTCTATATAATAAAAGCCTGGGTGGCGTCGCACAACATTGTCACAAGATGGCCGTCACGATGTCATCACAAGATGGTCACCACAAGATGGCCGGCAGGGGAAGGCAGTTGGGGGAACCAGGCCTGCAGGGGAGGGCAGTTAGGGGCAACCGGGCTGGCAGGGGAGCAGTTAGGCATCAATTAGGCTGGCACC